GGTGTTGAAATGCCTGAGCTGGCTCCAAAAGGATTGATTTTCACCCATTAGTGTTAATAACCCAGTTTAAGTGCAAGGCCTTCAAGATGCACTCGACTCTGAGGTCGTATTCACCCAACACAGAACTATGCTGTTTTCTGTGATCAGGGCACACCAAGACTGGGAAATGAAGACACTCAACCCCACACAGTTGTTCAGGTCCGTCAAAGTGCCTTTGCTACAGTTCAGACACTTCAGTGTCTTTGCAGTGCTTTCTACCCAGCTTTTCAGAGTAATATTCATTACCAGAGCACAAATGACTAGAGTACACACACACAGATGAGCAGAGCCAGTTCTGCTCTGCTGGTAGAGTTGGCTTGAGCCTTGAATGCCCACTGGAGACACTGAAGAAGAGAAACCCTCATGAATTCTGGGAAAAAACCTGAATCCATTCAGAAGGGTTAGCATTCTCTGCACGAGATCAGCAAGGTCTCCAAATTACAGCACTTTCCCACTATTTTAGGGCATCGCAACTCTTGCATTGCTATAACTGTGGATTAGTGAGTTGACTATAGTGCTCTTCTGGAAGACACAAATCTGAATAGTGACACTATCAACTGGCTTCTAAAATACTTTTTTCCCCCCTTTTTATTAAAAAAGTCATTTATTGCATGTTTCTTTTACTCTCTAGCCAGTAGAACACTAAATAATGCCACCATTGCACAACCCTTATAATAGTATTCCATGAAAATTCAGTAAGCAGCATGTTATTCATAAGCTTTAAAATTCTCTAATGATACATGGCAGTAAACAAGAAATATCATCTTACCAGCTTTGGGCACATTTACTGTTTTCATTTCCACCTTGCTACACTTACCATTGCTGAAACTTGCTTTTGTCTTTACTTTTCCAGTTGACTCCACAGACTGCGTAAAATTTTCATTTTGATTCTGGACACATATTTTAGAAGCACTTCCCTCCTTCTCATCTCTCTGCAAAAGAGAAATGAGTTCACAATAGCATTTCTTTCATGCAGGTGAAGAGAAATAGAGAAAATAGCAAGGGATCTCAAGAATAGTGATTGTCATTATCAAACTGTCTACATAAATATATACATCCCTACACAACTTTATGTATCCCAGTGTTCACAACAGAAAGTATATGCACACAGTATCAAACACCACTTGTGCCAATAGTTTATGAATTGAATTTAATAAAATTCAAATTCAATTATGTAGATAAATAAATAGTAATTGTGATGCTTTTTTGGGTTATTGTTAAAGTTCCTCGCAGCAAATCTGCAACTCAATGTACTGACACTTTATTACGTGTATCTTGGATTTTTAACTACTTTTACCAAAAATATCCAACAAAGCCCACGCAAAGATACAATCCTTACCGCAGCTACACTGGGAATTGTGTTTGGGCTCAACACTGATTACTTTTATTTACTTGAAAAACATTTTTCTGTATCCACTTCACAGAGTTAGAGAAACCTACCTGAGAAGCAAGATCAAAGGTGCTGAGAGCAAAGCTATCAAAATCTATTCTGAACAGATAATTTTAGCAGAGGTTGTTTGTGGTGAGCTCAGATACTATCTTTTAGTCACTGTACAAACAAATATACTTTTCAGTGAGTGCACTGTTCATTTTACCTCTTTTAATGTCATTTCTTGGTCCGTCTCCTTAGTTTCATTCTTGGGACAAACTGCAATACATTTTCCTGGTGGTGTAAACTTTGGCTTTTTGGCTACATTTCCTAGGACTTGACTCGGAGCTGCAGATCGCCTCATCTTTAGTTGTACTGCTCTGGCAGGTGGACAGGAAGGAAGGAAGCAGATAAAGTCAACTGTAGTCAGAATAGCTTTAAATACAAAAATGCATCCAAAGATAACAACACAAGCACTATTTTAAAACAACATAAAGGATATAATAAAATATTTTCAAATAACAATCTTAATTCACAAGCATAATACAATTTAAGAAAAAGTAGTATCGTTACAATGCATTAAGTACTAAGAAGGATCAACTACAGCAAATTCTGTGGTTGAACACTTCCTTTTTCTTTTAAAAAGCCAATAGTGCAGTTACCAATCACAAGAAATACTCTGGAGATAAACACTGTCCGGCTGCTTAACAAACTTACATAAGTTTGTAAAAAGAAAGAAAATTTGAAGCAAAACTAACTATTCTAAACACTTAAAACGTAACTTTGAAAAGCCCTTTATTAGTGCACAATGAACAATGAATGTTGAAGGTATGTCTCATCTACTATAATGAGATTACAATTGGGCAAGAAATAAGCTCAAAATTAGAGTGGAGCTCCATGTTGTGTCCACTTGAATAATGGAAGAAATCTATAATAGGTTTCCCTCAAAGTATAAGAATATTATTCCCCTGAACAACCTTAGGACAAAACCAATATGCCAATGTTAATATGGCAAAGTTTACTTGCAACCACTAGAACAATGAGTTATAATCTTAATGCTTCAAAGCAGTAGACAGAAAACAAGAGAAGAAAATTCCAATAAAATAACACAGTAGCTGAAATGAAGAAGCCAAGCATGGTACAGCAACTTATGGAGCATATTTTGGTTTAATTCTCATGGACTGTTTCTTTTAATTGATCCCTCCAACTACTAGGTTAAAAACAAACCATAATACAGATTGCAGATACAAACTTCTCTACTATCTCGAAGGCACGTTTGCATCCTGCTGCAAGAGCCAGCGTGTTTCTGCACTTTTTTTGGTGCTACTCTGCACTCCAGTGGCTTCCTGGGGCACAACCACCGTTCTTCCCAAGGTTTGCATAGAAGTAATAATGGAGTATGGTCAAAACACTTTGCAAACATGCAGACACTAACATAAGCAAAGCTCTCTCCTCCATATCTGAACAACTGGGATATATATGATGCTGTTACTATATGTAAACCTTAATGGCAAAATGGCCTGAACTGTTGTCACTTCCACTGTGACTGTTATTAAAAATACAAGGAAAGAAGCCCCTGACCATGTGTAAGCAGCAGTTCACATAAGTTAGGCCTACTTGACAACAGCATTAGCATATGAATTTTAGTTAACCCTATGCAATAAGGGAGTAGCTTGGTTATTATAACAGGAGCATCCGTAGTGCGAACACCTGATAGTCACTGTGAACACTGCAGAGGAGTCAAGAACCTTCCAGAGGAGCAGACTGCAAGTGTCAGCACTGAGCACAGCCAGCTTCAGGTGCCATATGAATCTGATTGAGTTCTCTACCTAACCCAACAATACACGGTGACACCCCATGACTCTGCATGAGGACCATCAATAGCATGACTGAGCTGCTACATTAACCCTGCCCATGCACTTCCAGATTTTGTCACATCTTCAGTGGAACAGGGGAGCTGTGCAGTTCATAAATTGCACATATTTGTGATTGAAGTGTTTTGGTTTCCAAATTCATTTGGGCATTGTGCTGTCTATTGGTCTTAAACCACAAAATCAGACTCGTTAGGAAATTTCCAAAATAGTAAGAAATTTAAAGACACTACCCTTGGTAACTCAATAACTTCACTCATGTTAAATTTTAGAACCTGTAAGAATATTTCCAATACTACCCACTTGCAGCTACAAAAACCTTTAGGGGGTTTGTGTTTTTTAAATGGAATATTGCTTCCAGCAATACATCTTCCTCTCTGTCTTCAAAATATAAGCTTTTATAAAATATAATAAAAACAAAAATTACAAAAGATAATAATTAAAATGTTTATATTTTGTATCTTTACAGTAGCACGCAGAAAAAAATAGACCATCATGGATGTGCAACAAATGACTGATGCCAAATCTTGTTTGTAGATGAGATCAGAGTGGATGTAGCAAGGGCAAGAAACAGCTCCACCTTACAACTACATCAATTAACTTGCAATTATGGCCTTTCCTCAGAGACACCACCTGTATACCAAACCATCCTGTACTTGCCTTACCTTTAGGTCTGGCTGTAGGGGAACAGCTGCAGGGAAACATCTGCAAGCAATGCAAAAAGCACAGCTCCTCCCTTTTATTAACCACCTGGCCTGACCAAAGCCAGCGCACCGTGAAACTACAGCCCAAACCCTCCTGGGAGTGCATCTAATTTGGCAAGCACTGCATTCGGTAGTACTTTTGGTACATTAATAGCTGCATTACAACAAAACACACATACAAAGAACATTTCAAAATTTTACACATCCAGCCCAACTCGGTGTGCACAGAGCCCTGCTAAAAGCACCTCGGCCCAAACTTAACAGGCTGCTCTCCCGAGTGTTTGAAAAGGCACTCCCGGCACAGATGGTGAGGCAAACAGGGTTTGTGGGCAACTACAGAGGTGTGACACAGGATCAGCTTTTAGTCATTTAAACTGAAGGCAGCGAGTGCATCGCCTTGAACATAGCTATCAGTGAAAAAAATCACTTCATGTGATAAGTAGCTGTAAGGACTTTCCACAAGGGCATGTAGTGACAGGGCAAGGGGGAATGGCTTCAAACTAAAAGAGGGTAAGTTTAGATTAAATATTAGGGAAAAATTCTTTACTATGAGGGTGGTGAGACACTGGTACAGGTTGCCTAGAGAAGCTGTGGGTGCCCCATCCCTGGAAGTGTTCGAGGCCAGGTTGGATGGGGCTCTGAGCAACCTGGTCTAGTGAGGTGTCCCTGCCCACGGCAGGGGGCTAAAACTGGGTGATCTTTAAGGTCCGTTCCACTGAAGCCCCCTGTCCGTGCCCCCGATCCCTCCGTACCTCCAGTCGCCCCATGCCCCGCCGGTGCCGCCGCCTCAGCGCCGCTCAATTGTCCCGCCGCGGGCTCCCGGCAACCCCGCCGGCCCCGCCACGCATGCGCCCTGCGCAACCACCCCCGCCCGCTCGGGTGCGGTGGCGCTTCCCGCCGGACGCGCGTGCGCGGGGCCGCGCGGGAGGGGGGCGGTGGGCGGGGCCCTGGGAAGGCCCTTCCCGCCCTTGGGAGGAGCTGAATGTGCGTGCGCAATGCCACACACAGCATGGCGGAGCGGGCGCGTGCCGCGCCGCCGCCAAGCGAGAGCGGCCGTAAAGGGAACCTGGGCTGCGCGACACCGGGCGGTGGTGGCGGCGGGTGAGTGAGAGGGCGGCGGAGCGGGGCCGGGGGGGCCCGGGCGGGATCGCCTGAGCGGCAGGGGTGGCGGGCAGCGGGGCCGTGCGAGACTGGGCCGTGGGGCGGGGGGCGCTGCGCACAGCGTTTGTCAGGGCCCGTTCGACCGCCGCCCTCTGTGCCGGGCTGGCGGCGGCGTCGCCGTCGTGTGGAGAAGGGAAAGATAATTGTGTGTGTCCAGCTCTGTGTGTGTGTGTGTGTGTGTGTGTGTGTGTGTGTGTGCGTGCAGCTGTGTGTGTGCGTGCAGCTGTGTGTGTGCGTGCAGCTGTGTGTGTGCGTGCAGCTGTGTGTGTGCGTGCAGCTGTGTGTGTGCGTGCAGCTGTGTGTGTGCGTGCAGCTGTGTGTGTGTGCAGCTGTGTGTGTGTGCAGCTGTGTGTGTGCGTGCAGCTGTGTGTGTGTGCAGCTGTGTGTGTGTGCAGCTGTGTGTGCGTGCAGCTGTGTGTGTGCGTGCAGCTGTGTGTGCAGCTGTGTGTGTGCGTGCGTGTGTGTGTCTAGTTCTGTGCGTGTGTGTGTCTAGTTCTGTGCGTGTGTGTCTAGTTCTGTGCGTGTGTGTCTAGTTCTGTGCGTGTGTGTGTGCAGCTGTGCGTGTGTGTGTGCAGCTGTGCGTGTGTGTGTGCAGCTGTGCGTGTGTGTGTGCAGCTGTGTGTGTGTGGGTGCAGTTCTCGGGGATGGTGCAGCTCTCTGTGTGTCTGTGTGCAGCTTTAGGGGTGTCTGTAGCTGCTTGAGGCCACGTAGGTGCTGTTGCTCAGTATCAGGTTGCTGCTCCAGATGTTTCCAGCCAATTTTGTGTTCCATGACCAGGATCATTGCCCTTCCCTGAAGTGCCTTTCCAGGCCTTCCCATTTTTTCCTGTGCAAAGTTCCCACGACCCCGAGGAGAGAGAAGCTCCTCTGACCCTGCTCCTGCCTCTGTGTAGCAGAGCCTGGCCCTGCCCAGCCTCAGAGGTGCTCACACAGAGTCATGGAAACAGTGGGCTTGGAAAAGACCTCTAGGATTGTTGAGTCCAACCTCTGACCAAACGCCACCTTGTCAACTAGACTATGGCGCTGAGTGCCACATCCAGTCTTTCCTTAAACACCTCTGGGGTGGTGACGCAACAGTCTCCCTGGGCAGTCTGTTCCAATGTTTAATCACCCTTTCTGTGAAGAAATTCTTCCTAATGTCCAACCTAAACCTCCCCCTTAAGCCTATGTCCTCTTGTCCTCGCTTGTTACTTTGAAAAGAGGCAAACCCCCACTTGGGTACAGCCTTCTGTGAGTTGTAGAGAGTGTTAAGGTCTGAACTTCCTTTTCTCCAGTTTAAACAAGCCCAGCTGCCTCAGCCATTCCTCACAGGACTTGTGCTCCAGTCTCTTTACCAGCTCTGTTGCCCCTCTCTGGACTCTCATCTGTGAGAGACAGGTTGTGCATCAATCACTCTGTTTTGAGTGGGTTTTGCAGTGCAATGACACATGTTGTGTAAAAATGTTCTTTGTCAGAGTAGTTCTAGTTTCTGGTAGAGGCCTTAAATTAACTGTGCAGCTCATACTGCTCATTGTAGAAGCTTTTGTTGAAAAAAGTCAGTTGTTTACACCAGTGTAAGCTGGTATTGCTGTCCATTCATTCTTACTCTCTTCTGTTCCCTTTCTCTTACACAGTGTTCATGAGACTCCACAGGCACCAGTCAGAGGGAGTAGCTCTATAGCTCAAGGCTGGTTTTAGGTGTGCATCTGCCGGGCAAACAACATGGGATGACAATTGCTGGGAAGTTAATACCTGTGAAGTCTAGGGGAGATTTTTGCTTGTCAAAAGCAACAGGGGGAAATAAAATATATGTGAAACAGTGGAAAGCAAATAGCATGTAATAGTTTATATTTTTTCTCCCAGACAAAGACATCCCTGTGCAATTATACCCTTTACAATTTATGCATCCTCCCTCATGTGTTCTTCATGCACCTTGCTAGTCTTGGTGCTTTGTGGTCTGGGGTCTTCTAACACTTTAGTGGATTCTCTCTCCATCTGCATGCAGGCAAGCCATAACTGTTCTTATCTTGTGGAGTGGTAGCTTCTGCTGTTGGCTGTGAGCTCCTTATCTTCTGGTTTGTGCTACTTGTGCACCTGCTCCCCGGCAGAGCATGGGAAAGTCCTAGACTTAGGCTAAACATCACTTAGCAACATCTAAAACATCAGTGTGTTAGCAACATTCTTCTCATTCTAATGACAAAACACAGCACTGTACCGGCTACTAGGAAAATTACTGAGAAAATTAACTCTGTTCCAGCCAAAAGCATATCTGAGTGAAAATCCACAGCTTGTGGCCGGCTTCCAGCAACTCAGGCTTACTCATAATAAACAAAGTAAACAGCATACTAAATCACACAGTGTTGTAACTATGTTAAGTGGCTCATTCTATTTAAAAGTTACTTTTTTATGCTAAACAACTAACAATTGTCAACAAAATAGTTTTTAGGTGCAAACAAAACAGGAGAGTGACAATTGGTGAACTGTAATACAAAAATAAGTTTTGAGGCCAAATGGAGGAAAGAGAAGTATGTGGGAATGAGCAGAGGTTGTAAATTAGCTCATTTTCTGGTGGAAATACTGAGTAAAGTGATCTGTACTGCTAGAGTGGCATTCATCTGATGCTCTGTCTCTCTCTGCCTTTCTCTTGACTGAAGTCTATCTCTTGAAGCTGGCAAGAACATAGAACTTCTCTGGTTTTTCAGGTCAGGAAAAGTCTACTGGAAGAGGTCTGGCACTTCAGTAACAGCTGGAACGTTATCTTTAGAACCCCCTTCATTATGTTTTTTGCCTCAAAGTTCCCATCCACTTTTCATTGGAACTACAGTTTTGTTTGGGGCTTTATACATACATATATTTATTTATATGTATATATATGTATTTGTTGCACTTCATTTTTCTATCAGGCACAAATAAAGTTTTTGTTTCCTTTTGATAAAAATATTCTTTCCTCTGTTCTGTTAGACTGCAAACTCATTAAAAGATGCCAAAGAGTCTCTTGAAGACTTGATCCTCAGGGATCAGCAATGTGTGTGCAAAGTGTAGCTTACAGCATCCACAATTCCAGTGAACAGAGACTCTAGGACATCAAAAATACTTAAAGTTTTGTTGACTTCTTTTATGCATCCTTGAAAGTTTTCTGAAAGCAGAATCCTCTGGGATCAGCCAAACCAAATCAAAATATAGTCTCACAGTTCAAAGTACTGAATCTATGTGTGCTGTTTGTCTTCCAGCATAACCATACTATATGTTTCAGTCTTTTCATCAGTATTGGAAACTGATGTTTGATTTCACATTCTCCTTACTGATAATTAGCATTGTTCTCTGCTTTTTAAACTTTCTCTTGTGGTCCTCGCTTTTCTTACAATCACAGCTTTGTGCAAAGATGACATTTTGTTCGCACTGGACTGGCAAAATCTTGAGTTTTCTGTCTGCAGGAGACCTGTAAAAACATGCAAGGAACATCGGTGTAAAAGTAATTGTTTAGCATCTTCTAAGATGATAAACTAAAAAAGATTCTTTTAAGACATAGAAGTCTATGCTGTGGAGGAAGGAACAGCATAGCCGAGATACCTGTAAATTTAGCTTGCAGTGTGTTGTTGGTGACAGTGTAGCCACAGAAGCACAGAGTTAAACACAACCTGTAAAATGTGCCAGGGACATGGTCAGGAGCCTGTGTGGATTGCACTCCCTGCTTTTGTGCAACACTCAGTCGGTGACATGGCTGATAGGTGAGGTGTCCCAGCTAATCTAAAGCTGGCTCAAGCATCTCTGCAAGCCTTGGTGCTGGCTGCACCATAAACATGCCAGTAGAAACACAGCACAATATGGAAACCATGCAGCAGATGATGTGTTTTGTGTTCGGGTAATGTGCACCCCTGCCTGTGTTATGTGTGCTGTTATTATAGCTTTTATTAACTTTAGTCTTAGCAAATGCCCTTTTAAAACAAGCACGTTTCATAATCAGTGAAGATATGCTTTGATACTCAGATATATAAAAACTTCTGAATTCCAGTTTTATGTTGTATTCATGAAGAGGAATTGCGGAGTTCTTTTTTCTCTTCAGAACAAAATTTGGTGTTAGTCCTTAGAGATCCTTGCAATTGCTATATATCAACTTAAGAGATTTAGGTAATGGCATCCTTTATGTTTTGCTATACCTTTTTTGTTTTAAGTGAACAAGCTTGTGTAGCAAGTTATGCTACACATAGAGCAATGATATTTCTCAATGCAATGAACTTGACTATAATAGTTCTGTTTTAAAAATTAACTGCATGTCATGCCTGATTAAAAACAGATGAGATAAGAAACTTCCATCTTTTTGAGGAATATAATTTTACCAGATTTCAGTTGCTGTTTTTCAAGGATATTGAATTCTGTTGTCTTCAGTCTTACAAACAAAACTGGCTTCAAAATTGAATGGCAGCAGGATGTTCAGTTGTGTGATAAGTATCTGCATCAGTAATGATTTAGAGAGACTGATGATTTTTTTTCCCCGCAGTCTAGTCAGATCTCTTGTGTTGTGGGTTTTTCAGTGGCTTGCTTTGGAAAACTTGGTTTTAATGGGCTGTTAGGGTAGCAGCTATTCAGTAGCTGGCTGGTTAGACATAGGACTCAGTAACTTAGGAAACACTACTGAACCTTACTCTTTCTAATTTTTCTCCTAGGCATAATAAAGCAGTGAAGAGACACTGAAGGAGGTATTATATGCCTTACTGATCAGAAAACTGTTTCTGAGTATACTTCAGAAATATACATACAAACTACATATATATGTAGTAAAATCTACGAAGGTAGGATATCTTCTGTTTCTGTTTTATTTAGAAAACCTCATAACTAATGAAAACCTCTTTTACAAGTCTCAGTGGGGTTACAAAAGTAATTTTGTATGTTAAGGAGCAGTGTGGAACCTAAAACATATTCTTTTAAATGAGTTCTGTGAAATCTTACTGAGTTCCCCTAACCTTTTCATTATAGGATTTTGATGAAGGCAGATTGCCCATTAGTTCTTCTTCACAAAGCTTTCAAATCCATTTAAAGGCTACTCCATTTTATAAAATAAACCGTGTAGGAGAAGACGGTACCTCCTCATGATTTCAGGGTTAGCTGCAGTTTTGGCTTCTTTTACTTCCTGAATATTAAGTATTTCTTTAGGCATGTGGAGATTTCATGCTGTTCCCTCTGGAATGGAAGTCTACAATGAAAAGAGAATCTTAGTCTTTTTTTTTTGCAGTATGAAAGTATGAAATTCATATCTTAAGGGATGCGCAGTTCATAAATACATGATCTGCTAGTTGAAAGTGCCACAGCTATTGTCTGTAAGGACACAGTTTTGTAAGCTTGTAAGGCATTACATAAAAGGCATTAAAACAGAAAGCAGGCATTTGCATTTGAACTTCGATGATATTTCTGCTTCAAGTAGAGTTGATGTAAACAGCAACTGTATGTTTCACAGTGGCTGCTACAGTTGCGTTCAATAACAGAGTTCAGAACAGGTGCAGCTCAACTATCTGCTAAAGTCTTTGCTTTCAGAATTCAGAGAATATTGATATAAAATTGGAATTCTGATGTCCAACAGTACAATCCTCAAATTCTCACTGAAACCTCAAAGTCTCCAAAGTATGTGTTTGCATTCACATCTGTGAAGTTCTTTATTCACATTAAGGTCCCCATGTTCCTAGAATCACTTTCAGGCCTTTTTGGGGATCTAACCATACAGACTGAGCACAAAGATGGCTTTACTTCTATGTAGGGTTTTTTTTTAATAGGTTGAAAGTGTGTGGAGAGCATGGGTTATGACATTGAGCGTTTTGTGGGCTACGTTAACGAAGGGCTGTTGTGCTCCATCTGCCGAGACGTGTTAGAGAATCCATTGCAGGCTCCCTGCGAACACGCTTTCTGCACTGCCTGCATCCATGGCTGGCTTGTTCATCACAGTAACTGCCCTGAAGACAGACAGGCGATTGATATGTCTTTGCTGCGGCCTCTCTACAGGTATTCCACAACCTTGCTGTATGTTGAAATTACATGAATTTAGGATTTATCAATTTTGCTTGCACAGCTTCATCTCTTGTCATTTACTCACTCAGACTGTCTTTATCCAGTATGCCTGTGGCGGAAACTGATCACTTGCATAAAAGCATTAGCATTTCCTAACTTTCAGGGTGTTTAGATTTCAAAATTGAAAGAATACTTAGTTTATTCTCTAGCTTTTTATATCTTGAATGCCATTTCTAGATATCTGTCTGGACATTATTCTGAATGCATTCTACAGCATCAAAACATTCCATACTTTATTTTAGAGAAAGCAAGCAAAGCAACTCTGGACAACAGTCACTACACTGTATCTTCTTTCTTTTCAGTCTTATACTGTAGTGGGGTTTGTAATGAATAATTCCTGGAGATATGAACCAAACTTCTGACCTTCAAGTTCTTTAAAAAAAAAAAAAGATCTTTAGACAAAAGAATGCCTGTTGTGAGACACCTTATCATGTAAAGCAGGCTGTTTTCACAACTACCTTCCATAACTAGTCAGGCACTTGGACTAGATGATTGTTGGTCCTTTCCAAACAAACTATTCTGTTTTAAACTTTTAATTCCTGTTATTGCCCGCATGACAGAGTTTCATCAGTAGATGCTCCTTGCTGTTTAACACCTGCATTGTCTAATCTTCCTCAGATTAAGAATTATGTTATGTTTAAAGTCTTCAGCTGCAGGTGTTAAATTTACTTCATTAGTACTCACAACCTAGTTTTGTTATTAATGAGATTTTACTGTCTGGAAGTTAACTACAGTGTAGACAGAGCACTAGAGTTTAATTTTTAGATTATTTTGTCTGTGCTCAATATAGTTTGTTTAGTTTAGCACATTTAGAAATACAAAACTTAAATGATGAATGAGTAGCCCTGGTGTTTGTTATTGGCAATATCTGCTGAGTCAGTGAAAGGTCACAGTTAGAAATTATTGAAAAATAAAGATTTCATTTGCACATTATTTTTGGAGACTGAATTTTCCTTTAACATTGTTTCTTTCAAGCTGGGTTTTTTTTTCCGATATGGTCACGTGAATTCTTTTTAAAAAATTAAGCTGGTTGCTCACAATTTTTCCTAGTGGAGGAATTAGGAAGTCCAAAAGTTGAAAATAAAGTTTTGTAATAATGTTCCAAGATTTAAGAACAAATTCTTTTTCTTTGAACATAGATACATGAAAAATGATCTAAACCGTCTTCAGCTGCATTGCAGAAACAGAGAGTACGGCTGTGAAATGGTTTGTTCTCTGGAGTCTATAGACAGGCATGAAAGGGAGTGTGAGTACAGTCAGATTCCTTGCTCCAATGCCGGTGAGTAACATTCAAAGAAGTTGAATCCTTTATGTTTAGAAAAGATGTGTTTGTAATCTTCCTATCAACAGAACTGCAGTAATGACCATTATTTTCAAACAGAAATTCAAAGCTTTGGCATGATCTGCTCTTTACAGCAGTGTTTTTAAACAAAACATGGTACCAATTTATGGCAACCACGATGTTTAAATGCTGTTTCTTATCCAAGAACTAATCAAAATGGATGAGTATGATGGACTTCAAATGTATGAAATGTAGTAATGCATTTGTTTTGCAATTCTGACTGCATATTCTGATGTTTGAATGAATGCAGTAGCACCTGCAGAACACTCATGGGTCACAATTTATTTATATAACAACTGGTTGCCTGGTGCTCTCTCTGTCTCATGGTTTTAACAAAAATGTGTCTTGGAAATAAGAACTGTTCTAAGCTAAATTCTTGTTAGAATTGTTTTGTTCATGCTGAGGTGTTTATTTAAAACAAGCCTACACCTTCTGAGGAAGAAACATGCCTTTTAAAGGGCTGCTAAAATTTCCCAGTTGAACTCATTCAAAATGTTGTATGTTTCTAGATAAAGTTAATTTCTAATTAATAATGCTAAGGGCATAGTTGAATCTGCCACTGTAATTAATTATGAGATGATTAAGGTGCTAGAATTGCTCTACTGGAAGTTATAATTCTCTCAGCAGTAAGTGACTCCTGCAGATGCTTCAGATTCACCTATTCTAGTTTCTACAGAAGCAGGGTCTAGAGAGTTACCATGCCTGATGTCTGTATTCAGAGTATGAGGGTTCTTACATCTCTTGAACTCTCTCCTAAGAATACACTGGAGTGTTTTTTGAGTATCTCAATTACAAATCATTATATTTATTACTAAAGCTCTTCTAGAGGGCTGTTTTGTCATTTTCTGATATGGTTTGTTGGAAAGTTTCATTACTCTTGTTTCAGTTCCCTTATGTTGATTTTTCTCTTCAAATTAAATGCAGTTGTGTATTACAGCACACAGGTCCTCAAAGATTAAATGTTAAGACTACAAACTTCAAGTTGAGACTGTTAAATATAACAATAATTTATATAGTGTTAATTTTTGATTCTTTACATTTTACTTTTAATCACTCTGGAATTGCAAAGTTTGTATCCTAGAATTTGTGTGGAAATGTTTCAATTGTATGAGGTATTGAATGTTCATACGTAAATGTTCTTTCTTATTTATGTGGTCTAGTACATTATAGACAAGACCAACAAACTGTCAGGAAAACAAGGTTACATTCCGTCTTTCTTACTACATATCTTTAGGCTTTTTTCCCTAAATTTGATAACCTAATATTTTTTTACGCATACACATTCTTCATCAATTCCAGTCTCTGCAATCTATGATGGAAGCACATGCAAGCTGCCAGTGTCTTAGATTGGCATCAGCATTGTCATTACGGAAGTTGCTTTAATACCAGACCAGCAGCAGAAGACTTTACAGAAAATACCTCCTTCCAATCTCTATTTTCAGTTAATGGATGAATATCTTAAGATTTCTTAACAGTGTTGTAGTACTGGCTATGTGTGTATAATTGTCATATATCATGTTCTAAAGAAATCGCTTTTTCTTGAGTGTTTTTGTTTGGAATTCATCAAAATGCTTCTGTTAGTTGTAACTGACTGGCTCACCTTCCTCATCCTTGTTCAGGTTGTACAGTGCAGATTGAGCGCCGTAACTTGGATGGTCACCTGGCCGTGTGTGAGTACCGGAGCCGTGAGTGCCCCAATGGCTGTGGTTACACCATTCTCAGCGCAGAAGACACACAGCACAATTGTGTAGCAGAGCTAAGAACGGAGCTGGAACTGCTTCGGTACAAATCTTCTGCTTCTTTGGTGTTTGTTTTAGTCTGGGCTTAAAATCACTGCATAAAGCACTTCAAATACTAGTACTGGATCCTGGTGTGTGTTAAATGGTCTATTAATTACTTGATACTAATGGGCCAGTTTTATTATGTGTCAGCATAGACTTTAAATTCTTGCTGGTTTGATTCCTTTTCTGTTTTGTTTTTTTTGTCTAAGTTGCTATAAGTCATAAAATACTATTGCTTACAGTTGAACAAAACTGTGAGCTTACTATATAAAATAACAAAATCCTAAGAAACCTGGACTTAAGTTGGCGATTTAATTTTTCCGTTGGCCTGTTACAGACCCAAAGTCACATTATTTAATAATTATATTAAGTTCATGTTTTTACAGATGCAGAAGATAAAAATCTGTAATTATTTTGACAGATACAGGTAGATTAAATTGCTGAAGATCTAATTTTCATTTTTTGTTAAAGTTCTGATAGATAAATAACAATAAGTGAATATGACTCTTCTTACCAGCATATTCCTTTTCTTCTTATGTATGTTTCTGTAGCTTTCCCTTTCCATTATATTCCAGTTGCACTCTTTTTTTTTTTTTCTCATATTCCCTCCCATTTCTATCTTTCAGCTCTCTAAGTGTTGTGCTCTTGAACATTGCTGTGAAGTCAGGCTCAGATGTGGTTTAAATGCATTGAGACACAAGGGATTCTTCTACCTATTTCTGAACTCAGGTTAATGTAGTACAAGCTAGTTTTTTGGATGTGAAGCTGTTTGAGTGATTAGGTTTGGTGAGTGATTAGGTATGGTTTAGTGCATACTGTCATTTAGTGTGCACCATGAAAGTGACAAGAGTACACAGAACCACAGAATCATTAAGGCTGGAAAAGACCCTCAAGACCATCAAGTCCAACCGTTAACCCAGCACTGCTGAGCCCATCATTAGAACTGTGTCCCAAAGTGCCACATCTACACAGTCTCACTTTACATGTTTAGCAATACTGTAGCATTCAGACTTTTTACAGGATTCAGACTTTTTATCTTGCCTGCCTGCATTTAGCAATACTAAGCCAGCACATACTGTAGGCAAATGGCAGAAAATCACTTAAAGTCATAAATACATGTTTTTGAGCTCATAAAATTGCTTCAGGAATATGACACAGTTGACCCGCTATAGGCTGTTCACGGGCACTTTAGTCCCCCTGGGCAAGATGCACTTCTTTATGCTAGTTGTTTTTAGATTAATAAATCATGCCTCTACAGGTGTGCCTTGTAGAGTTTGAAGGGAATCAGATCAGGCCATTGCAAGAAGGCTTTCTGGAATTTGAAAATCATTCTTTTCCATACTTACAAGACTTAACAAGGAGAAATAAATTTTTTAGGTCAGAAATGATCTGCAGAGTGGAGGAGGCAAAACATGAGATGGAGTCAAGGTTAGATTCACAGAGAAGGCATATGGTCCAAAAAGAGAGCATTCTGCAAAATGAAATTGAAGAACTAAAGGTAAATATGATCATTTTCCTTTCTTTTTTTTTTCTCTCTTAACAGTCTAGCTTTTTGAGTGGTAGCAGTCTCTTATTTTGTAAATAATAGTCTTGTACAGAGGAGAATGACATTAAGTATGGGAAGCAAAGCTGGCAAAGCTTTGTCAGGTTAATCAGGTCTGTGGAGAAGCACGCTGAGTGCTGTATTCCCGTGGCTTATCTGCTTCAGGTTCACTTGGAGCTCACCTGGGTACCCCTTGCAAGGATTGCAGTGTTCTGCGCATATGTAACATTGTGGATTTTCAGTGTCTGTAAACTCAGAGCAGAGATCACAAATCAGAAGTAAATAAATATCCAGCTCCTTTTCTTGATGCTATCCAAAGTAGCTTAATCCAGAGCTGACACAGAGCACTACTGCCAACGGTGTCGTTTACACTGTGTTCCAGCTGTGGTCAGAAGGGTGGAAAGTTGCACCATAAATGTCATCAAGTAAAAAGCAAGACCGCCTTATCTTTTCAATCATCCAGTTGTTGTTTTATCACAGAATAATAGTTTGTAAAGCCCAAAACAATGGATGTGCTTTATAGTTTACATTTTAGTTTCTACTGGATTTGATGTTAAATCCATGAAGAATGTATCTGAACATAACCAAAACTTTATTTTGACTGGGGTCTTGAAATAGAAAATATAAGCAGGAACTGGGTAAATCTGCTGTTTCTTATCATACTTTAAAAGAAACTTTTTGAAAAACTGTATTGGAATCTTTAAAACAAGACAATCCCAGAAGGGGAATGCTGGATTGTGTCAGATTGTTTACATTTGTTCCACTATCAAAAAATTATTTCAGTGTTGCTTATTCTTTATAATCCATTGTTCTGTATGCATGGCCAGTTCAACTTCATCTCACCATCATTAGAAAAGGGTTTATTTCTTGCAGTAAATTTGCATTTGCATTTCAGAGTCAGATATCACGACTGATGTCAGATGTACGCTCTCTGATGGCTGCAGAGAGACAGCACCGTCAGGAGCTGGAGCAGGCAGAGCTGGAAAAACGGGAGTTAATGGAGCTGCTAAAGGGGCTGCAGAAGGACTGCCGATTAACTACTACAGAGGGAAGCAAGAAGTCAATGAATTTCCGTCCTCTGACACGACTAGAGAGTGTAAAAAGAAAGCCTAGAGAAGTTACAGTTATCTAAACAGTAGTAAGCTCAAAAAATGTTTTCTTCTAATACTGGTTTCTGACAAACTTCTCCACTTTCTTCGAATGATGGGTAAACTTTATATCGTTTCCGATTCACTTGTTTTCTTTTAAAGTCTAAATTACAACTGTATTTCCTTTGGGGGCATAAAAACAAATGGGAGAATTTTTTTCTGCAGGAACACTGGGAGTTAAAACCAGTAATTGGCAAATGTATTTTTAGCTCATGTTTTTATAAAAAGGGAGAAGGAGACTTGATTTATTATCTCTTCAATGCATTATTTACTCGACTCTAAAAGAGTCAGAGATACAGACCATAATGGACCAGGAAGGAAACAATCTTGGAGTATCTATGTTTAAAGCATGAGAAAGCAAATATGATTGATAAGTAGTGGCATTTGGGATGTACTTAATTTTGGGAAAAGTGAATAGTAGAATTAGTAAGTCAGTAATAGAAATTAATAATTTTTTTTGTTTATAATCTGTAGGAGATCTTGTTTCAAAGGTGGAAGTAAGCACTTTAAATTGTAATTCTGCTATGTAACAGCTTCAGGTGAGGTTGATTGTTGCTTTAGAACTTCTTTAATTTCCCAAGCTCATACACACTTAAGAGACTAATACCAAAGCCCAAGGTAACAGAACAACCTAGAACCTTTTAAATAGATGTGTGAGTAACTTGGAGTTTGTGGGAGGGGATCTACATTTTATTTAAAAATTTGAAGCTTTTATATGTGAAAGTATCAGCTATTTCTACAGGGTCCTTTATGCATAAGACCAGTCCATTCGGTACTCAGTATCTTTAAAGCATGTATAAATACCTAGAGTATCCTTAATTTTCTTTTGGCATATTTAAGGCTACTTGAACATTAATATCCACAACAGATGAATATTTGCTCAATCAGTTGGACTTCAGACATCTGTATTAGTGCTCAGGAGCCTGCAGGGTGTGCCAGAGCCTGGCACTGGCATCAGAGGGTGACAGAGTGTAGTGGGTTGACCTTGGCTGTACACCAAGTGCCCATCCAGTTGAGCTATCACTCCCCTTCCCAGCTGGAAAAAGGGACAGAGAATAAGATGAAAAACGATTTGTGGGTTGGGATAAGGGCATTTACTAAAGCAAAAAAAGTAAAAACTTGTGCATGCAAAAGCAAAGAGAAAAATTAACAAGGTTTATGCTCTACTTTCCACCAGCAGCAACATCCAGCCACTTCCTGGGAAACAGGGCTTTCAAAACACATAGTGGTTTCTTAGCAGGCAGCCATTGGAAACAGTGAATGGCCCCCTTCCTGCTCCTTTCCTTAGCCTTTGTATCTGAGCTGATACCATATGGTATGGAATATCCCTTTGGTTAGCTTGCGTCAGCTGGCCTACTTGTGTCCCCTGACAGAAGGAATGTTACAGTGCTGATGCTGTGCTCAGCAGTAGCCAAAACACTGGTATATTATCAACAACCTTCTAGTTACCAATGCAACACACAGCACTGTGAGGGCTACTGTGGGGAAATGAACTCCAGCTCAGCGAGACGAAATAGAATCTCCACCTCTTATTCCATAGCATTTGCTTCATACTCAGATCCCACATTATATATATATATATATATATATATACATATATATATATATTCTGACTATCTCCTGTGCTTTCATAGATAGATATTATTTTTTCTACTTTATGGCCTTCTTCCACCTCTCCAGATCTTGGGCTCCATTCTATCAGGATGGGTACTCAGGACAGTAGAAGTAACACTGTCGTTGGGCACCAGCCCAGCTCAGGTCACTATCACTCTTCTTCCTCCTCGCAAAATTCGCTCTTCATTGTCCTGCTACTCTACTTCCTGCAACATACAACTTAAACACATATTATCTTTCCCCTAAGGTTAAATCTCCTTGAGACGCACACCAGGTCTCCCCATCTTCACGCATTACCCACCAGGTACACCCTGGTCCCTGAGCAAAGACAATCCAACAGATGGATTTGCCTCTCCGCGTGGGAGGAGAAACCCACACCAACGTCCCCAGTCACTTCCCTTGTGTAGTAGGGGGACCTTATCTCCTCCCATAGTGTGTAGGGATTTTATTTGGGCAGGACCAGGGCGGTTGGCAGATCCTCTAGTGTTGGTCAGCCAAGTGGCTTCAGCTAAATTTACCTCCCAATGCTTCCATGTCCCATTACCTGATGCTCTTAACATAGTCTTCAACAGTCCATTATACCTCTCAATCTTTGCAGAGGCTTGTGGGTGATAAGGGATGTGGTATATCCACTCGATGCCATGTTTCTTTGCGCAAGAGCTTATAAGGTTATTCTGAAAGTGAGTCCCATTATCTGACTCAATTCTCTCTGGGGTCCCATGTCGCCACAGAATGTGCCTCTCGAGGCCTAAGATGGTGTTTCAAGCAGTGGCCTGGTTTACAGGATATGTTTCCAGCCAGCCAGTCATTGCCTCCACCATGGTATGTAGCTCTTGCCTTGGCGTTTGTGGCAATGGTCCAGCGTAGTCAGTTTGCCAGGCCTCACCATACTGGAAATCCAGCCACTGCCCTCTATTCCAGGGAGATTTTACTCGCATGGCTCACTTGATTTCCACACGTTTCACACTCGTGAATAATGTGTGTGATGGCCTCCATGATCATGATGCCGAAAAACCTCGGTATGACGAACTGCTCAGTCTTTTGTATCTTTAAGCAGCAAGGTATTTCTTTATTCAGTGTTGGCAACAAGCCAGCTCACGCTGGACAAACGTGTTCGACTTGAAAGTGCAAAACTAAGCCATTTTATACAGTTTAGATACATGGTTACATTATTTATTATACATATTAATAAGTAGGCTAGTCTCTGAGTGGAGTCTTTCCAGGCATACAGAGTCTTCTACTCTAGGGGTCTTTTCCTCAAGCCTTCATCCCTCTGGTGGTCGCCATGGATATCTTCCTCAATTTGATCTCTTCAGTTTTCTTTGTTACATGACCTGAATTCATCAAGCTTGCAAAATCCTGGCTTTGGGACTTCTATATCGTATTCAAACGTCTAGTTTACCTAATTTATTACCATGTGTATACTGCTCCTATTCTTTCTATAATAAGGGCTTTGGTCCCACGAGCAGAACAGAACATGATATTAACCAGTGCTCTTAAAATGTTCTTCTAGCAAAACAGATATTGGGGTTTCTTAGCAGGCCAAGATATCTCAGCTAGGGGGCGGAACCGACAGAGCACGCGCGAAAAGTTTGTGCGCCGTTCTTCCACGCGGCGTGCGTTCCCGTGTTCGTCCCCTGCGTGCCTCAGCCCCGTGCGCGCGCAAGCACCCTTCCCCCCCCATCGCCTTGTTGCAAAGACCACATGTTCCCCACGCCGCTTTTCTCCCTCCCACCGTGCTCGTTTTTCCGGGGCTTGTCCTTTATCAGGGATTTTGAGTTGGATTTTTTATGTTTTCGTGGTGATTCTTGGAGGTTTTCATTGGGACTCGTAATGTTGCGGTCTTTATATGATAAAGAAATGCAGTCCGCTCTTCGTGAGGTGGAAATCAAAGAAGTTTATTTCAAATTTGGCGCTTCCTTTTATCCCCTAAAACCATGTGACCTTCTAACCAATGGGGTTGTCCCTGCGCATGTCCCCTGGTTCCCCTGCCCCTGAGGCACGCCTCCTACATCGCCCCCTTCTCACGAAAACAATGCAACAACAACAATGCAAACAATCAGAACAGTACATTGTAAACTACCAAAGCTTGCAATGACCCAGCACATTGCTTGCTTTGGCCTCTTATACATCTATGGTAAACTTTATAAAACTTCCTTATATTCCTAAAGGGTAGTGCAACTTGGAAAAATAACTTTATTAACTTAGGGGTCTTAGCTCAACTCAACCTTGCATACTTATAATCTTTATTAATCTGAGGGTTTTAAATAACTGGGGAGTTAAACTTTATTTAAGAAACAGGCTAAGCTTAGCAAAACTAAATTCTCTTGAAGTGACCATGTGGCGGAGGTAGTGTTATTTTTGTGAGGTGTTTTTGTGTTTAATATGCTTGTCCAGTCTAACAACTCTCTTATTCATTCACGCTCTCATTCACTGACAGCCGTCATTCCATTCATCACACACAGATTCACAGATTTTTTACAGACTGCTTTTTGCCACACTGGTCGTCCTTAAATGTAAACCTGAAGCGTAAACATAACTCTTTTATAACTTCTGCGTTACTCTGGTTCTTGCTGCTGTGGTTGTGTACCTAGGTAGGGTCTAACACACCTGGAAGGGATCCATTTAAGCTCTTTTCCTGCAGCCACACAGGCATAGCCTCGTCCCCAAGTGACGAGATGTAACAGTCCCATCCACTGCCCTGAAATCAAATCTCTTACCATGACTGGTGGTTTGGGAGAGGCGAGAGCCTGAGGCTTGTGCTGCCTTTCGTACCTGCTTCTTTCAGCGCTGTCACAATTTAAAAAATTGATAACATACGTGGCTTTCCACAGACGTTCTTGCAGGCTACAGACTGATTCCCCCTTTTTTTGTTTAGCTAACATGTCTTTCAGTGTGCGATGTGCCCTTTCCACGATTGCCTGTCCAGTTGGTGAGTGTGGGATACCTGTGACGTGAAATTCCCCATTCTGACAGGAAATTTCTTACCTCTTCTGAGACGAAAGCTGGTCCATTATCAGTTTTGATCTGTTTTGGGGTACCAAGGGTAGCAAAACAATTGAGCCAGTGCCTTATCACATCCTTGGCCTTTTCCCCTGTGTGTGCTGTGGTGGTTATTTTTGTGAGTGTGTATCTATGGATACATGTACATATTTTAACGTGCCAAATTTGGAGATATGTGTGATATCTGTTTTCCAAATCTCATTTGCCATTAACCCTCTGGGGTTAACGCCTTCCTGAGATGGCATGGGTGTGATTTTCTGACAGTCTGGGCATGACATGATGATGTCTCAAGCCTGATTGAGTGTTATCTGAAATTGTCTCTTCAGAGAACGTGCATTCTGATGGAAAAATGAGTGAGACAGTTTCGCTTGCTCTGAGACTCTAGGTATGTTGTTAAACATAGCTGCTTTGTCAGCCTCTCAGTTTCCGTCAGCTATTGGCCCTGGCATGTCAGTGTGTCACCTTGTGTGCATTATATAGAAATCAAACCTTCTATGATTCACAAGAAACAAAACAGAATGCATTTCAAACAAGAGGTGAGGGTTAATGATATCTAGAAGAAACAAACTCTCGAGACAGGAGACTAACTGTGCAGTATAACAGGAATCGGTAACAATATTAACAGGTTGTTCAGAAAATTTCCCTGAGGCAATGCAAATGGCAGCCAGTTCCAGAACCTGTACAGAACCTTGGTTCATGGTCTGTACCTCCTGTTCCTATTGTCCTGTGTCAGGATTTACCCAAGTCATTGCAGCTTTTCGTGTTTTTCCAGATGCATCTGTGAAAACCGTGAGGCCTTTCACTGGTTCATGTTTGCATCTGGTTGTGACCTTTAAAGGTAAACTACCAATTTCTGCCCACAATCTGTGTTTAGGGAGATGTATTGAAATGTCACCATCAAAGCCTGCCAGGGCAGCCTGGAATCCTGCATCCTCAGCTAGCATCCAATCGAAGTTGTCCTTTGTAGCTGGGATGTAGATGACAGCAGGGTCTCTTCCATCTAGTTCTTGTAGTTGTCCTCTGCCTTTAATGACAAGTTTGGCAAACATTTCGTTAGTAGTCCACACAGTTTTAGGTGGTGTGTGGGGCAGAAAC